AGTGTAATGTTATATACAAGCTTGTGGACACTATCAAAGAAGAAATTAATAGCAAATTACCTAAAACCGTCATTGAAGAAACATTAGGTACCGTTAGTATATCTGTAGACAGAACTATTCAAATATTACCTCCTTGTAAAATATTATTTATAACTCTTTCCTCTTTTTTTTTTGTTACCGAATACAACAGGCGAAGCAAATGTAATACAACAATTCCAGATTAATGATAAAAGGAAAAAAGTGAATGTCGCTGGCTGCCTTTGTACAAAAGGTGTTCTCCAGAAATCTGGAATGTACAATTTAATTAGGAATAATGAAATTATTTATACAGGTGAGCAAGTTAATATAATATTCAGTTATTTAGAGTTTAACTGTGAATTTTGTTGCGATCGAACTGAAGACGTAAGATTCGATTTTTAACATTGTCCTTTCAAAATCAGTTCGAATCTTTTCATATAAATAACTTTTTTCACGTGGTACAATACAGAAATGTTCTCATTTTTCTAATTCATTTTTTTATCACAAATTGATCACAATTAATTTCCAAATAACGTACTACCAACTCGGTCGAGGAATTTACACTGAAATTCTTGCTTCTGTTACCGTTTAAACAAGACGGTCTTTTTTTTGTTTGTTTGTTTTCAAATAAAAATATAAAACGTCAACGTCGATTGTGTTGTTTCAACTTTATTTTTTCTCTTCTCTCAATTACTCGGTGAACAATTAAAATAATACTTGTATAGTATGCGTATCAGTCAAGAATCAAATATTGTGAATACTTTTTCTCGCAGGAAAAATGGTGTCGATGAGACACTTGAAAGACGAGGTGTCGAAAATAGAAACGGACGTCGAATGCGGTCTCAGATTGGACAATCCAACTCTACAATTCCAACCAGGGGATACTCTAGTCTGTTTCATACTGAAAGAGGTGCCTCAAACGATCGGCTGGAATCCCGGTTTCTAAGTTGACAGTTTTGTACTCTCGATCGAATACAAAAACAATAATTTGTTAAATAGAAAATAGAAAGAAAAATACGCCTATCTTTTCTTTATACTTGGGAAATCTGAATCACTCGTATAAAAATGCCTTGTTTCTTTTTTACAAAAGTGTAAGTACAAATTCCTTTATTATTGCCATTGTGATGCAACATATATCGCAGTTTCTTACAATTCATCAACGGAATTCTGTCGCACGTTTGAAACGGAGAAGTGGATCTATCGTTTTACGATCGAATAAAAGTCAATAATAGTAACTTCTTCCTCTGTCTTATCGTCGATTTTAATTATAACACGAATATCATCGAATCGAATCAATCTACCCTGTGTCGCATCGTTTTCAATGGTTTTCAAAATAGTCGATGATAATGTTACTAAGATCATTCGTGCTTGGCTGGCGGGGGGGGGGGGGGGGGCTTTT